AACAGCTAGTGAAAGGGGCCATATTGGAAGAGCGATGCAGAAAAAGTACCTGCTTTTTATTTTTATACCGTTTTCGATCATCACCACCGAAAGTCACATTTTTCCTAGCCTAGTGTTCGTAAGTCCACTGCCAAGAACACCACCAGGATATTCTCCCTATGATGTCCACTTCGCTCACCTACTGTTGATGGCCGCTCACACGAGCGTCGAAAAAACTATTAAGGGCAGAAATTCAGGAGGTGTAACTCGCCTACCACAAACGGTACCATAAAGTGTTATTCTCCTGGTGTCCTGAAGCCCCTAGTGGGGCGAAATCGTTGACAGATTTCAACGCAAAAACATCGACACGAGTTTACGGCCAATCTGGTTTAGTTCCACGTGTTCAGTTAAATAAAGTGTGCTAGGTATTCATTCGGCCGCCTCGAAAAAATGTTCTTAGAAAACTTGATTCATTTACATGGTCAGAAAAGGTATTTTAGTGTTTGACGTAGAAAACCGTCAAACGAAATCGTTAGCCTCCGGACGCTACAGAAGCAATGTCTAGTTTGGGGCAGCCTAGACAGACTTGGCCACACACGTTCGGCCTTGGTCTGGTCCTATGTCCAGATTCAGGTCACAGCAAATCGATCAACCTACCGACGCAAAACGGGGAAAGGCATGCCATAGACGCGACGAGCGGAGAGGGTTGTAGAACACGTACATTGATGGTGTGTTTTAAGGAACAGTGGCGGAAAAGGCGCGTGGGACACTACAACCTTACGGCAGAACACGAAACGGAGATGGTTCCCCATGCCTACGGAGCACCATGGGATCAATCTTGTGCATGTTCTATGTACTCCGACCGGACAACGGGCATTTTAGCTCAAACTTAATTAATCTGGACGTTGATTGCAAGCATTGAGAGGGCTTCGAGAGGTAAACAGCAACCGTCTCGCAATTTCCCTACTGGCAAACAGGCATCCAAAGTCTTTAACAGAGAAGTATTATGGAGAAGAAAGTGCCTACGTTTATCAGAACGTACCACAACCAACCAGCCTGAATCTTGTGTTCGGTAGTGTGCACACCGTGAAGGGACAGACTAGCACTAGCAGGGACAGTCAACAGCAACTCAGGAGAAGTTAGTCTGTTTGAGGACATACCGCTGCTCATGTGGGTGAGCTCTTAGTTGGTCTGGAGGGATCGGGTGACATAATTCATCGGTGTTCAACACCGATGATTCACTGCCATAAGTCAAAAAACTAATTTTCCAGAGTTACGTTCAGTCCTGTGTGAGAATCCTCTGTTCGTACTGCACGAAGCATTGCTTTATAAGTGCAATATTTCATCTGACTCTCGACTTGTCCTGTGGTGCCTGAGTTAGTAATACAAAACCCAGACATCTACTGATTCCTTGATCGGGAGTGTTTGAGACTCCATGCAAAAGCTGTGGAAGTCCGATTTTCACAGTGACACCTTATCTAACGACAGTAACCGGTGAATTTCACACGATAATCACAGTTGTCTAGGTCCATACAGCGTTTTCTGTTAATATGTATCAGCTTCACTATCAGAAAGAATCATGATAACTCACTTCCAAACTCATCAAAAACATGGGTTAAGACCAGTGTTGAACATAAGCCATTAGCTGGACTTCATCACGTAAACATCAATGTATCATCCGATAACCCTAGTTATCACGACGCCAAAGGTTTACATGAAATCTGAACAGGTGAATCCAGCCAAATATAAACATTCCATCGCTTTTCATCTGTAACAAAGTTCGACTAAAGGAGGATGCCTCAGATAAACCATCCGCCAGATAATCGTCAATAACAACCGACATTACACCGTCGTATACCCGGCCTAGTCTACTTGAGAAATGTCTTTCCAATTGAAGAAAAATAAATGTATGGATGTGAGGAACTTCGCGTTAATTTTCACAGACATCTAGGTTGTCTACACATCAAACAATCAAGACAGTGACAGCTTTTCTCTTTGATAAATTTCAAATGTATCACCTATTTCCCTAATGACTAGTGGGTCCGATTGCTCATACCCGTCGTAAAATCCCAGTGCTTGTCACTCACAACTCACTGCGATAACTGCTTCCTCGTACATTATCTTGGGGGCAATTCACAGAGTCCAGGGTTCCCCCCTTTGGCTAGTTAGGCAAATAAAGCATGGAATTCGAAATATCAAACGGTTATCAACCCTTGTTCGATGACTATGTTGGACGAATGGTAATGACGTCCCGCTCTTCTTTTTGGTGCGGATAGTCTGTAGAATAGAATGTCAAAGGAAAACCATTGCAGGTATATTACGGATGCACATATTTTGAATATTTCTGTCCCATGAACCCTTCAGATATGACTACTGTGTTCTGTGTACATGACAACCATGCTCATCAGATAACCAGTTATATGTGACAGCATCAATTCTCCGACAGATTTATTATGTTAATGGCTAGTGAATGAAAGGAAGTCTACGGCTGGCCCAGTTTCTGTATATCGTGCAAACTCAGAGCCCACAGACAGAAGTTACGCTCAGAACAGGATAGCCTCGTTGGCAACACCTGTTCTGTCCTGGTGGACTTGGCGAAATACGACGGAATCGCGCCGAACCTTGATTTCGTGGTGCTCGAATGAACGCATGGAATGAAACAACTTCAGTACGCTTTCTCTAGTTGTAGCTACATTCGTTCATCCAAATACCTGCAGTTAGCCACTGCGGTGGTAATGAGGTAGAACAAGACAAGATGTATTCCTTTGCAGTGAGACCTCTTTACAGCGACCGCTGAGAGCGCCGCTGAAAATTGGTCAGCCTATAAGAAGTTCAAGAGGGCTTCTAGATAGAAAGAAGTTATAAAAGGCGTCTTACCCCATGGAGTGTTTGTCATGCATGATCTATGTGAGAGGCTATGAAGGTTTTCATTTGGCTGGATGAACGGCTCCAACTATGTTGCTGCATGAATTTGATTAGATCGAAGAAAAACGGACATTACAGAGATGAGATGGTTGTAGGACGGGTCGTTGAGTAAGGTCTCGTATTCGCTTGATTGTATCACTTATCCAACCACTATTTTAATGAGGAGTAAATTCAAGAAGGCTAGTGAGGCCGGTGTTGGTAGTTGATGATAAATGGATGACCGTTGAGTCTGGAAATACGGACGAAAATCCTTCGTAACAAGTCGGTGGGTGACAGATTAGCTTTGTATCGCTCTTTGGCGGTGCGTTGGCATAAACACCGCTAACGAAGGATGGAACGCTAATCTTGTACGCCTCGATGTGGTCCGTCCTTGGTGGGCCATTATATTCACATGTATTTTCACGCTGTCATCAGGCTTAGACTATAAACAAGTTTCTGCGAGTTTGTCCGAAACTTCATTTCGTCTCACTCAGATTTGATTAGTAGGTCCAATAATGGATCCTCCCAAACCGTTTGTGTTATCATGACTATGCGCGTGTGTCCATTAAAATTAAAAAACTCCACTTATTTTCACAGATAAACAAAATGTCTAATCAGTGAGGGCGCGTTGTCTTGGCATCACTTTCTACGCCTTTCGCACCATGCTGAAGAGAATTTAGTCTTTTTGGTCTGCATAAACAATCATTTCCAGCTTATATTGATCGTAGTGAACGCTCTACGTAGGGAATATTTCTGTGCATCTGTAACTGAGGCTGCCACTAAGTCTTGCTGTTGTTCGCATTTTTTCGCTCATAGGTAATCTTTGTGAAATACTAGTTATATGTCGATATATCAGTTAGTGTCAAAATTATTTGTGAACACTTTACCCGCCATCCTGCGGCCCAGTTTCTTGACAGGTGGTGGTACAACACTCGTGACATAGGTGCGGTGAGCGTCTGGTGTCCGTAGCAAGTCACCCTGTTAACTGCCTCGGTTGTAGTTGACAGCTCGCCACCAGGTGAATTAGTGGTCTGGGCGCGTAAAACGAATCAATAGTGATCGCATAATTCTATGAACATCTAAGTGTAACGGTCTCTGGACGGAAGGCCCAAGGCTTTCTCGATCTCACAACCTTTCTCAGTAACTGAGAGTGTACCAGTGCATGAAAATAATCTGAAATGATATAGAAATTTGTGCCACTCGGTCTTATTCAGAAGATGAAAGCGGAAAAAGTCGAGTGCAAGTTATGGTCGTTGCCTCACTCTTCGTTAACTCGAATCCCTATTGCGGCTACATGAAGTGATGATACAAACGCCAGCATGAGCATAACCAATATTAAAACGCTGAAGAAATCAAGCTAAGTCAAGAAACTGAGAATTTGCGACGATGTCAAAGAGTGTGCCAACAGAGTTAACAAAAAAACAACCATAGTAGCACACTGGCAAATCACAGCAGTTGTGAATAGGTTGTCCTAAACCAAACAGCACAACTGATATTTGTAGAGGATATGTTTTCTCGTGATATGGAACTATTCCAAGAAAGTCTATTGAGTGGTGAGCATGAAACCGGCACAACATAGTATGGTCCAGAAGCCACCTTGTTTTTATCCACAGTACGGTCTAGGTGGGTGCTCCTTTTGAGTAGTTTAGCTGGACCCAACATATTCTCGTTCTTCTGATCAAAGGCTGTAATTCTGACCTCAGTAGGCCGAATGAGTGCAACTTCAAAGCCTAATAAGTAAATACCCTTTCAAATCGAAAAAGTGTTAGAGTGGAACTGACCGATTTTAGGACGGTTAAAGTCGCTGCGTTATATTCTACTGTCTAGCGGTAGATATAGCTGAATGGTCCTCACAAGTCCTAGTAAGTTTCGGGCTGAAATGTTTCATTTTGTCTATTAATCCTTAACAAATGGCGTGATATGCACGTATTTTTCTTTTTGAGCAGGAAACTCATTATGGTCCCACAACACTCCGACCAACAACAGGATCCTTATGATCAGTATGCTTCATTCTGCCGGTCCAGATTTAACAAACAGCCGTCACACTAGAAGGTATCTCTCACAATCACAGCTTCTCTGCTAAATCACTCAACTTTTCTTAACTTGAAGGAGCTAAGTTAACACTGGCTTTTCCGTGACAAGCCTGAGGTTCTAGGGGTTCTGCTAAAAAGTTTAAGCGCCATGTGAAGTATAATATGGATTTCTTTTGAAATCAATACACTGTAGTGCCGCCAGGATGTGGTTTAAATCAGACCGCAGCGTCCATTTGCTTCTCAGAGAGGATCACACTGTAGCGACAAGTATCTGATACGGGTTATAAATGTTACTGTTACACCTCCGCTTTAGTCTTTCAGGCTACCGTACAGAGAATAATCCAACCAGACCGAACTCGATCGAATAGGCTAAATGACCGAACTTTACGCAGTACCATGAACCGTGAGCCAAAACTGGATCACAGCCAAGACTGTGTACTTGGCAGTCGTCTATCAAGTTTCTTATCAGATCAACTCATCAGTTTTTATGTGGAGTGGCACAGTGGAGTGTCACCGAGTTATTCGATTCCTTCATATGCAAAACTGAGGGGTATGTTTGACGACTTTTCGAACTACCAGTGGTTTAAATGACTAAATCAAAGAACCGATAATTTGTGTTGTTGTCCAAGTAGGAGCAGGCTACCGCTGCACAGCAAAAATTATGGTAATTATGAAAAAACAGGGTGGCCAGACCAATATGCCCTGAGATACCTTCTAAATGTAAATGAACTTTCAATATAACTGTCTTGTGATTTCCGAGGAATAAAACTCCTTCCGTTATTATAACCAGTTTCCTCCGTACCGATTGATCTTCGGATGGCTGAAAGACAGAAAAGAACGATACTGCCTATCTTACGTGCTGTTAGAGGAAGGAGAATAAAATAGTTTATTATAGCTAGAAGAGGTCGGGTCATTGATGTGTAACACATGTGTTGGTGTCATTGGTTGTACTGATTCCAAGGCAATATTGATATTACTTACTTGTGAGTTTTCACTTAGGCCAGCAGACAACAAAAACGAGCAAACTTTGCTTCAGGATTCAGAATAATGAACTCCTCATATAAGGACCATATTGAAATTATCAATGATTGTGGGTTCACGTATTGAATTCATCAACCGGGCATCCTAAAGAGTTTAAATCCCTCATTAGATGGTAGATGATTTCAATAACTGGTACAAGTTCCTAAGTGATACGAGATGTGACCTGCGATGGCCATAGTGACGGACGGAAAGTTTTGGAAGGTTAAACTGTGAGCCACTCCGTTACCGGGATGCACAGTGTGTCACAGTTTCACTGAATATACAGAAGCTTCCTGACACAGCTTTTTAATTGGTCTTCATACTTTCGCCATTTATTGATTTATAACTTTACTGCATAATAAAGCACGCCATTTCCTTGACTACATTTTCTAAAGCTTGAATTTCCTGGTCGAATAGTCTGCTGCACTCGAAAGAATGAATGCGTAGATTTTATGGTTATCCTATTGCAATGTCCCCAAGACGAAACCTGAAATACCTTTAAAGCAATGGCCGGCAGCTAGACGCAATTCACCCTACCGGTAGGTCTCCATGATGTTGTCAACATGACCAACACCATGGCCGCTGAAACACCAATTCTGAGCGCACCCTATCTTCTAGTCTTTTCAATCCGTCGCGACTGCCGAATCGCGAGCGAATCACGTATTGTGCCTCCTGAATTGCAAACACGGCATAAAAATGGAAGCCAAACGTAAACACTTACGTAAGTGAACCATCTCCAACCTCACACAAGTCGGATCTTGCCCGGCACATTGAGTGCGTCGTGCTGGCTGTGATTCGTTGACGTCACTTGATCGATTTCCCGGCCAATGAGAGGCTCGAATCCATTCTCCCAGGCCCATCGATCGGCTGTTTAAACGTCTGCTGGTGGTGCGGCGGGTATTCTGTGGTCGGCTTTTCCAGTGTAATTTGCGCTTTCGGGCTCCGACACACGCCCCGGCACGTGACGTAAGTAACTGTCAGTATCTTGTACTCTTGCCTCCATATTTCGCCTATTTCAGTTGTGCTGTCAGGGTAAGAGTAAGAGCCTTGTTCGCATTTGAAATTTTAGGGCAAGTTATGTCCGGGCTGTTTCAGTTTACGTTTCGCAGGCTGGTTGACGCATGTCAGATACGGCCACAATGGGCTAGGTTCTTCAACGGTATCTGTTGTCTCTTAACCGATTACGTTGCTGTCATAGCAGAACTGCTACACAGCAGTTTTTTTTATTTTCCGAATGTAGATGCTGTTATTTGTACAAATAGTAATGCAAATCCATGACGTTCTACCTCAGATAGACTTGTTCAGAGAATCTACTTTTGATGTTGACTACACGAAATTCAAGCAGTCAGTCAATCGGTACCAGCTATTATCGCAGATTTCCGATTGTGATTCGGACGTGCAGAGTAACTTCAGCGACCAGCATTCGTTGGGAAGGACGCAGACTGTATCTTTAGAATGGTTCTGTCAACACTTAGCACAACGCCAATTGCAGTTTTGATGAGGAACGCTGTTCCACAGCTCAGCATCGATGTCGCTCGTCTTAAGGCTTATCAGGTCGGTGTAGTCTTTGAGCTTTCATCGCTCTTGGACGCTATCCCGTTGCACATTGGTAGTGACACTTACTGGATAGCTTGTAACATGATTCTTGGTATCTAGCGTTACCAGCTTTAGAGGACCATGTTTCCATTCTAGGATTGAGTTTAATCCTTTAGCCATTTGTGCGTATCTTCACCCACTGAGCGCGTATACTGCACAACCATCCACAGCATTTCGTGAAGTTTTTTCCGTAGGATGGCTTCTATGCACTGGAGTTGTGTCCTTTCATAAGAAGTCCAGCAGACGTATGACAGTTCCTGAGAAGATTCGAGTGTTGACGAACAAAAATGTTCTTTTTTGTTGTATCTGTCATCATATGAACTTCGGTAGGGTCTCACCTTTACTTTGTGAGCTGATTTGGTCTTGTGGTTATCAGGTGTCGCTTGTGGTTTTTGTATTAAAGGATACTCACAAGAGGCAAGTTCTCAGCTTTTGCGCACGAAATGTATCCCAAGCTGGAAATAGTCATTTTAAGGAGTCTCTTTATTTTTCCAAGATCTCGACAAACTTTACATCGCTTCAATTTTCGCTACGTTCTACGAAATAAAAATGAAAGCCTATGGTATAAAGAGGATCCAGCGAGTTTCAGCTGTATAACGAGTTTACCACTGAGACTGACGCACTCCGTACACACATGATTAACAAGTTCAGAACTCAGTATTATCATCATTGGCAACACTATTGATGCATGCCATGCAATCATGAGGCTAGAAATTGGTGGCCTGTTCTGCAAAAAGGAAAGGATAGGGGCTTGGTACAAAGAAAGTGTATGTCCTCTGGACAGCATCTGAGCATCATGTCCGAGTAAAAACACAGTAACTGGGATCGGTCCAACGTCATTTGTGAACCTCAGCCGACCTAGGCCCAGCACATAATGACAGCTGAACGTTCACTTGACTGTGCGGCTAGGAAACGATAGCATGTGCGCCACTGGGACCGGTTGCGTGCCATGCCCTGAAGGGTTTCCAAGTTCCTGCAAGCAGGATCACCTGGGCCCCATCCAAGAAGGCGCGAAGACCCCACAGCGCTCAGTTTGACCATAGCCACAGCCGTCCTCTGCGAACCTTTCACCAACAGTTGACCGGCACAGAAAAAACGCTTTCTTTGTTAGACGGTGATCGGGCATACGTAGTATATGCTCCAACCACTTCAAGTCGGTAGGTTTAATCTGCCGCTTTAACGAATCAAATTCTTTACCAGTTGTTCGATTACGCACCACACTGCTGCAGATTGCCTGTAGCCAGCTTAATATTGCTGCGCTACGATGATATTGGTGACCAAACATTTGAAGAGACCCAAGGTCCTCAAATTGGAGGGACCAAGTCTTACAAAGACAGAATAAGATCGCTCATACAGTTGCCTTGCATACACGGCCCTCTGGCTTTTGAGGACTTCGGTTCTGACGCCACAACTAACCTAGGTTGGAGAACGCTGCTCGAGCCTTGATAGTCCGCGCTCTGACTTCATCCGTTAAGTTACAGTCACGGCCTATGCAGCTACCAAAATAGGTGAACCTATCAGCAATCTCAAGCTCTTCATTCTGAGTTACAATGAGGCGGGAGATTTTGAAATAGGACTTTGAACTTTGAAGGTAAGAAATGCGTGCTAAAGCATGGGATGACCTCCGATATTCTGATTAAAGTACTTTGCACAGGCAAATAATCGCCAAGCAGTAGAACGATGTCATCCGCATAATCCATATCCATTATTCTCTTTCCAGACGTAATTCCGATACCTAGATTCACGGTTCCTTGAAGTGTACACTCTTTGCTGACGTAGGTAACAAAACTGAACAACAATCGAGATAATCCATACCATTATTCTCTTTCCAGACGTAATTCCGATACCTAGATTCACGGTTCCTTGAAGTGTACACTCTTTGCTGACGTAGGTAACAAAACTGAACAACAATCGAGGGGAACAAACCTGACGAACTCCTCCTGTTGTCATGGTGCTTCTAGGGCGAGTTCATGGTACACCCTAAGGCGGATAAATGACATGAAGAGTGTTTACAAACTCCAAGGCATCCTGCTCTGATCGGGAATATTTAGCTGACCTTATCTATACACAGAGTCTAGGGGCCCTTGAAAGTCGAGGAAAACCACGGTAGCTATTCGGTGGTACAAGTGGCACTGCTCATGCACTTGATAAACGTTGACGCGCTACTTTTATTAAATTTTACTCATGTATTTCCAACCCTAGCTTTGTTCCACTGAACTACCTGTAAGTGTGTCTCAATCGACAAAACACTAGCATCCCCAGACAGTCTGGCCAAAAATATAGCTGTTAGTGTGTTGCATTCACGGTGGTTCTATCTATCCACCAGTTCTCGGTCAGCGTTTGGGCCAACGCCCACCCGCCCGTTCTACTCTGCAGTTTATTGGATGTCGCCGTGATAGTGACACCACAGCACGACTATCATTACGTCCCTTGCAAGCGAGCCAATAGCACCGAAGTGTTCAAATCGGTTGCGCTGCTATTTAGGAATTCGCCGGATCAGGTGAGTCTGTTCGTCAGCCGTAAAATTTTACCACCTCCGAAGTGAGAACAGCACTAATTTCGCGATTTTTTTGCCCAGGTATTGAAACATCATGTCACTTCCGGCAAACTTGGAGTCGGCTATTGCTGATCTCCCACCAAATGTGAGGGCTTATGTGAAAGAGAAGGCTATTTGGTGTCAGCCAGACAGTATCCACATTTGCGATGGGTCGGAAGCAGAAAACAAGAAATTTATTGAAGAGTTGGAGAAAAGCGGTAAGTCAGTCAGTCCACATCACAGAAGTTCAGTACAACCAGCGAATAATAAATATTCAATCATGACCAATGATGACCATGGACAGATAGCGTTGTGGTGAGGCATGTCCGTTAGGGATGTGCGGCGAAAGCTGTATTCGTAGAGAATATTTTCAAGCGTTGTTGTAGAGCTCTTCTAGAGGTTATAGATAGATTAGTGCTAATTAGCTCAAAAACTTTCGTAGAACAGACGTACCGCATCGGAATAGGACAGACAAGATCGAACCATTGCTATCGGTTATCCGTCAGTCTAAACAGGAATTTTTCATACTGGTTCCATATCATATGCTGACTTGACCGTCGTCCCTACACCAGTGGCCAACGACCTTCGCGCCCAATATTCAACCCACATTTTTTGGGAATCTCGAGGCAGGATAATCGAAAATCGTGTCAATTTGTGCTGCAATAAAAACGCATAACCTGTGAACCGAAGTTCAGTATACTATGTCCCGTTGAACGCACATCACTTAGGTTTAGAAAGCTCAAGAGGCAAGCGCAAGCAATGCCATATACCCGAATGGGCTGTCAAGCATTGCAGCAAGTGACGAAAGCGAAGGTCCTCCATGTTTACTGAGTTCCTGGATGCTTTAGAGCCAAAAAGTTATCCATCGGCTAAATCACTGCCAACAAAATTGACAGTGGTTTGTCATGTCTGGCTCTGTTGCTGATTCAGAGTATAACCAGAATAAACAAAGCCAAAATTTGCACTATATCATTTTCACTACAAAGTTGCGCGAGGTTTCACAAAGTCGATTTCGTTTAGAATTGGCCGGTGGTTGCAAGTGGAATTCAACTAGTCTAAGAAAACTTTGATTTCAGGAATAACCCAAGAGTTCAGAGTTGTTGTGCGATGAACAATTCTTCGAATTGTTCAACAACAATTCCTCGAATCGTTCATAGATTTTAATAAATTCCAAAGAGAATAAACTTCAGCTTTCCAGTTTTGAGATGCACCCAACGGCTTTGCATACTTACGAAGAATCCTGGAAGTAATAAGATATTTTTTGTAGAAAAGTTCGAGTTTCTTCTAGTTTATTGTTCCGACCAAGATGCAATTTACTTATTTTATCGCAGTGCTTCACACGGACAATCGGTGTCTTCCGTAATTGTTCCTGTATATCAACTTCACGATTTGACCATGCTTACCGTACACCGACACGATGTGTCAAACGTGTGTGTCTCAAAAGAGTTTAGTTTAGGTTTGTAAAGATGAGAGTTTGGGACGTCGTCTGCTGTATGGCATCAGGACCACTCAACCATCCGTGTGAAGGGTCTGTCGCATAAACCTGTCAAAGGGTGGCGACAAATTGGGGAATGCCTACCCAGTAAAATCCAGGTGACCACTCGTGAGTTTGTCGTAAATAGCCCGCATAAAGAGGTGGACACTGTAGAGGGTGTTCTAACCTGACGGTTTTCATTGATTTGAAATGCACATCAGTGTGAAATTCGATTTCATCCTTTCAATCAAGAGGAAGGACAGATTGCGACGTCAGGTCACATTCAACATGGTTATCGCAACCGGAATGATCAGAACTCACTCTCAAGGTCCACAAGAATTCGGCGTGACTGAGTCGAATCAATGCGGTCGCCATGGAGGAAGATGACTGTGTATTTCTCATGCATATAGAACCCTGAAAACTTCGTAAATGGAATAGTGCGCTGTTTATATGATCCACAACTCGTACTCCAATGTCTGCAAGAGTTTCGATCCGTCGCTGATCTACGTATCTACCTTACATGAGAGTCACAAAGATCTGAAACCCACACAACTCTCAGAACTCGTTTTGTGACCAATTAGACATCCACTGGTCCTTGCTGGTACCCATCACATCAAACAACTACGCTATAGATGATCAGTACCTCAGGCTCTTGCCTCGAAACGTTATTAAGGCACGACATTTTATTTAATAGGAGTCCAGTCTTCAAACTAACCACTGCCTATCGCGGAGCTATGAAGGGGCCACTGATCTCCTCGCGATCATGAAATAAACACATTCAGATGATTTTCCTAAGATTAACTGGAACCCTTGTACCACGTTGCCTATTACAGGAGATACGCAGTTTTCGTTCGCTCCGTAATCACATCTTTGATCTAATCCATACGGGTCTTGTTTCAAACAAATTCCCTGGTTTAATCTTTCGCAACGATTGTTCAAAAGGAGTAAAAACGGACAGTGTGATTGCTTAGATTGGTCTCCTCTTTATGCTACTTATTCTGTGATCATGGAAGACATTTAGAATATATTGAATTTCTACTCCAAGAAGAGATTTTTGTCCCAATAAAGTACATGCAGGATTGAACAATCAATTGAGCTAACTTCCCACTTGCCCATCCCTCCGGCCGATTTTAAACTTCGACCGTTTGGCCCTCGCTCATTTTTGGTTTTGTCCAAAACGACAGCAAACTCATTTTAGTCCTTAGCCCTTAATTCAACTGAGTCGTAGGATGAAGGCCACTTTGACAAATGTATGTCGAAGAGTTCCCCGCACCACTAGACTGCAGTGCAAATAAAGCGTTACCACCTCAATCACTTTATGTCTGTCTTATTGCTAAGGTTATTACGATTAAGCCTAGGGTGAGCGTACTGAAAAAGATCGGAATAGTCGTGAAGGTGTACTGTACTACTTCGCAGTTCCAACGGTTATCCATCAAAGCACATCCATCTTTCCTCATTACCTATTACTGTGTGCAGCGCAGGTATTCCTATCTGAAGTTCTTTGAAAATTCATCGGAACGCAGAATCACGCTTAGACATCACCACACTACGTTTTGCGAACAAATCCAATTGTGTTGGGTGGACCGTCAATAGGTGAACCTTTTATTCAATCACTCAATACGTATATCTCTTAAGCCTACTGGTTGTCAACTAGACAAATGGCTGTACATTGCCCATGGATTCTCAGTATATGATAAAGAGCGTGCTACTTGGAAGTTACCAACCTGTTTATAAACTTCTCTTTAGGTGCTATTCATCGACTGAAGGCCTATGATAACTGTTGGATCGCTCGAACGGATCCGGCTGACGTTGCACGTGTGGAGTCAAAGACAGTTATTAGCACACCTGATCAGCGTGCAACCGTGCCCAAGGTAAAGGAGGGCGTGAAGGGCACCCTAGGGATCTGGATGTCTCCTGAGGACCTCCAGAAGGCGTTCAATGCGCGGTTCCCTGGCTGCATGAAAGGTATGTTATATATTTTCTGAATGATAGGCGCTTGTTTGACAACCCAACCTTGGCTGAGCGGAGTTTTTCGTTCCATATTAGCGGGGACCTTTACTTTAAAAGGGGACCGCAGCCAGCCGACCATAATTCTCATCAAGAGCGCAGGCCTGTCGTCGCTCCTAGTTATGCTCTCTGTTTTACCGCACTTATCGAGTCCTGTTTCAATCATTTGCACATCTTGAACTTTCTTTCAGGACGAACAATGTACGTGATACCCTTCAGTATGGGACCACTTGGTGGGCCGATTTCCAAGATCGGCATCGAACTCACAGACTCACTGTACGTGGTTGTGAGTATGCGCATAATGACCCGAATGGGTACGCCCGTGTTGAAGCTGCTAAAACAAGATGACAGTTATTTCATCAAAGCCCTCCATTCGGTTGGTTTACCAAAGCCGGAATCAAGTAAGTCGTTATGTCACAAAATAACATTTGTTGTTAATGATTTTCAGAAACATACAGTCTAGTCTAGTAATCGGAGTGCCTATCGCCATATTCTTTCATCAAAGATATCCAAATTCAGTGTGACAGGAATGTCTTAAAGTTTCATATTCCCTCACATCATACATTCATACACCCTCACATCCTACAGGTACTGGGACTGTTTCAACAGTTTGGTTGGATCTCTATGGAAGGTGACGAATCCATTGCTTTAACAACAAGCTTTAAGAAGGCATGTGGGTTAGAAGCAGAAAAACAGGACTTGATAAGGTGGGCGGGCTGAATATAGCCACGAATATGGCACCGACTGCGACTAGCCATTGTATTGTGATGGTTTGTCGTTAGACCCAACAGACGATGACTTTCCTATGGCTGAGCAGCGTAGCTGGTGTTTTCGTAGCTCCAGACTGTATCATAACTTGACTAGTCAACTTACGTCTCCTTATAACTATGAAGCTACCAATGGCTTAATACTCCGTTATTCGTACAGCATGGTTTGACCAACGGCCCCCGTCTGACACGTTATTCTTTGCATGATTGATCTGTTTCAGAGCTTTCCAGGAAAACCTTGGGTAAAATAGCAAAATTGTGAAATAGACACCAGCCAGAATAGTGTACCAGAGTTATATGAATTTTTTCTCTGCCTTCGTAGGACCTGTTATCAACAACTGGCCTTGCAATCCAGAGCTGACCTTGATCTCGCACATACCAGCCAATAACGAAATATGCAGTTTCGGCAGTGGCTATGGTGGCAATTCCCTTTTGGGTAAAAAGTGCTTCGCTCTACGTCTTGGTTCGATTTTGGCCAATCGGGAAGGTTGGTTTGCTGAGCATATGTTGATTCTGGGTCTGAAACCACCGAATGGAAAGATGCGCTACATTACTGCAGCTTTTCCCAGTGCATGCGGTAAGACAAATTTGGCTATGCTGCAACCCACGATTCCTGGGTACACCGTCACCTGTGTCGGGGACGACATTGCTTGGATGAAATTTGACAAAGAGGGACGTCTACGAGCCATAAACCCAGAGGCTGGCTTTTTCGGTGTTGCGCCCGGTACTGCCATGGATACCAACCCGAATGCCATGCTCACCATTCAAAAGAACTCCATCTTCACAAACACCGCCGAGCTGAGTGATGGACGATTCTACTGGGAGGGGTTAGAAAACACGGTTGATTTCACTAAAGTCAAAGTGACGGATTGGACCGGCAAACATTGGGAACCGGTAAGCTCAGCGTAAAATCCGGTAAAAACAAACTCATTAGTTAAGGTAAATCCTACTTTACTATCCTATTAGGATTTTCGATCTATTTGTCCCAATTACAATGGAGCATTTGGTGTTTGTTCGCTTCACCTCCTGACTTTCCACTTCCATTTAAATAACACCGTAATTGACGATACGCTGAACATTGGCATGATGGTTTTTTTGGGGGGGGGGTTCGGGGTGCGACTAAAATTAGGGGACTTGACGAATGGAGCCATCGCATTGGCGTGAAAGAACTGATTCGAGTGCCCATCATGCTTGGGCCAACTGGGTGCTCCCGAAATACTTGTACGTTTTGGCCTGCCGTTATATTTTCTTGGGCTTATATCAACGTCAGTGGCCTTTACCTACCATCACATTCGGCTCCGAGTAAGCCGCTTGTGGTTTAGCTTCTGCGTCTAGACTTCCAGTGAAGGATCAACCACTTTTAAACGACGAATCCATATCGGATATGTATCTACAAGCTTTCAGCGGGACAGGTAACTGTCAGGCTGTAAAAGAGATGCTGCTGTCACGCAAACTAATTTTCCTCATTAGAGTGGATGCAGTGGTGAATATTTGAAAAAGGCAGTCGAACGTCTGGAAAACTCGTTGAAAGAATCTACTGATTTGATGTTCATCAGAAGGATGTCACAACTGGACAACAAGTACTCTTTTTATTTGAAATACAAAGTTACATTTTGACTCATCTTGAATTCAATTCTGGTCTTTTCTATGGAAAATTGAGTTTTTTGAGTATTTTACCTACCATGAATTTCAAGTGTTACTTGGCTCGAAACCCTAATTTTTTGGGACCAGAATCTACTCTGAGATATCTCTTTACCACAGCCATCCTCCGACTATCATGAGTAACCTCATAAAGTGAAAACTGGGTTACATGATGAAGTGAATCAGCCCGAATTTAGCTCAGAATGTTGGAACTCACAGACCAGATTACTAACACTTTTCAGAAAGCCGCCGTATCCTTCAGCATCCTAAGTTGTAACCAACTTTAGTGTTCTGCATAGTTGCTTTTGGCTCTTTGCGGCGTACAGAAGTAGGCCGATTGTAATGTGGAGCAGTGTGCAGTCGATTGTGACGTTTGCAACGATTGTGACAGTTATTTCGTCCTACTGCAGGATTCGATTCTCTCTACTCCTTCTGGTAATTAGTCGGAGACAGATGACAGAAGATCACGAGGACATACCACCAACTGTTCCCAGTGGTCTTGTTGAAGTGCCTGTTTTTAAATCAACCAATCGTTGTCTGTAATTGTTTCGTTCTCTCTTAAAACAGCGTTTCTAACGTGTTTTCGTATGCTAGTTGTATGATTTGATGATGTTACTGTCCACACTGATAAAGCCTAGATTTACTCTTGAGAATGCTCTCCCCTGAAGTGTACGGATAAGCACTTTCTTTGAAATCTTCATCGATGCTTCACGTATGTTCCATGTATGCTCCTTATCATATAGTAATCGCTCCGTACCATGAATGGGGTTTCCTCAATTCACCGCACTGCATACTTATTTAACAGGGCTGTGGTAGACCGGCTGCGCACCCCAACTCACGTTTTTGCACGCCAGCGTCTCAATGTCCAATCATTGATCCTGACTGGGAAAAACCTGAGGGTGTCCCTATTGATGCAATTATTTTTGGAGGAAGAAGACCAGAGGGCGTACCACTGATTATGGAATCGTTCAACTGGCGTCACGGCGTATTCTTGGGAGCTTGTATGCGTTCTGAAGCCACTGCTGCCGCTGAACATAAAGCCAAAGTTGTGATGCACGATCCATTCGCTATGCGTCCGTTCTTTGGCTACAACTTTGGAAAGTACCTCGAACATTGGCTCAGGTAAGTGCTTCAACCACGTTTCCCACGTTTTTCCTGTAGTTCAATTTCTTTTAGTCACAGAAACGTCCTTCATAGATTTGCTTTATCCAAATACCATTGCCTGATGTGTGTACGAGAATGCAACTTTCATGATACTATTGTCATTTAGTTCTAACCACTTCTCGCTCTGTTTTTCTCAACCCCCCCCCCCGGAGCTTGTATGCGTTCTGAAGCCACTGCTGCCGCTGAACATAAAGCCAAAGTTGTGATGCACGATCCATTCGCTATGCGTCCGTTCTTTGGCTACAACTTTGGAAAGTACCTCGAACATTGGCTCAGGTAAGTGCTTCAACCACGTTTCCCACGTTTTTCCTGTAGTTCAATTTCTTTTAGTCACAGAAACGTCCTTCATAGATTTGCTTTATCCAAATACCATTGCCTGATGTGTGTACGAGAATGCAACTTTCATGATACTATTGTCATTTAGTTCTAACCACTTCTCGCTCTGTTTTTCTCAACGCCCCCCCCCAGTTACAGAACTTTCTTCTATTGTTTGAAAATTCACAAGCTATTCAAACCAATCTAGCCTGTTGCTGGACACAGTGCAATCTATTTGTACATGACCAATGCTAATTCAGAATTGCAGGACCAGAGTGCTACCGTGCGTTGGGACTGAAATCAGCAAAGTTAAAACAAGACTCGGATGAAGTTCGCTATCGCCTGATGATACATCATCACGATCGGCTCTACAGTAGCTGTAGATAAACTACCTAAAAACTCTACAGTGTGGTAGGTAGAGCTCACTAACAGTATCATCAAAATGCCCTCTTGATCATTCTATGGGAAACATCCCCCGGATACTTTGTTGCCAGTCTTTCAGAAAGGCATAGATAATTTCATAAGCCGCTTGAAACTATTTTCAGAGGGCAATAAGCCTTCCACTATACTACCTGTGTCATCGCTTTAATTAGTACCATCCATATGATTCCTTTTGCCTCTGCACTACAGTTTTGAAAACAAACCCGGCCTCAAATTACCCAAGATATTCCACGTCAATTGGTTCCGCAAGGATTCCGATGGCAAATTCCTGTGGCCCGGGTTTGGCGAAAACTTACGTGTGCTTGATTGGATTCTTCGTCGATGCGACGATGCTGTTCCAGCGGTCGAGGGAATCGGTGGACAGGTCCCGCGCGTGGAAGACATAAATTTAGAGGGAATGAAGACAAAACCGGATCTTAAAGCTTTGTTGAGTTTTCCACCAGACTTTTGGAAACGAGAGGTTGGGGAACTGAAACAGTATTTCAATGAACAATTACCCGAAGATTTTCCAGCGGCGATGAAAGAGGAACTCAAAAATCTCGAAGACCGCGCTTACAAGGCCTAGACATCACAATGTTGAGTTACCCCATAAACTTAGAATCATCCGGTTACAATTATTGTACCTGATTACAATTTTTTTCGACTGTTATTGCTACACATCATGTTTTGATGTTGTATTAGTATTTGCCATTTAGAATGGGATACACAATCTTATACCACCTTTCAACTTTTAATAAGCTGAATGGCCGTTTAACAGCCATAGAAGTGGTGAAGATCATACCAATTCGTCGCTGGTAGCGGACAAATGACAAACCTGTAATACCTTCCTCATAGCAACAGGTGATTGTGACTTTCCGGGCTGTGGTTGAACGTTGCGACATCATCTTTTTTTCATCACACTGTGTACTGCACCATCGTACAGCATCGGAACTGTAGATTTCAAATAAAGGGATAAAGAGCAAACTGCTTAACGTTATCCACTAGGGAAATTGATATATTGATTACCTAATCATCTTGGAGCTCACCTGCATAGGAACGAACAATAAGCCATTTAGGTGGGACTGAGGGTTTTTTACAAGCTGGCACTCTTCGGGTGCACTGTGCCCTCGTTGTACCACTGCAAAGCTTTTGTCGGACCATCGAGAATTACAGATGTTTCGATAGAGGATACAGAGTTCATCTAAGCTGATTTGGTTACTAACCTGACTTCATAAGCATTTATCAGTCGTGATTAGGAGATTCTGATATTCGTGTTTCCGAAGGAATCTATTCATCATCTTACTAATGTACAGTCAGGAAAAGGATCAAGCACATTCATTCTTGCACGTGAAATTCTATTTAGAGTGACAAAATGGTGGGATTACGAACATAGGTCTATCTCCACTATCTTTTGCAATGACCTAATGGATATCTGATTGTTTCAGTTAGATGCTTGTATCAACGTAAAGTGGAAACACAACCTCGTTTGGAGCGGTTGCTCGCACATCTGTAACTGTGCCTTGAAAACTATTATGCTGGTCCTTTGTCGTCGTCTAGATTATCACGAATTAGCAACTTGTGCCCGGTTAATACAGCCGATGAAATTGCTCATTTGCTTCTCGAGTAACCGGGTCCGAAGTCCTTTCGACACTTCGCAGGTGGGTGACGGCCGTCGCCTTGAAATCTTGCACAAGTGGGGCATCAAAGTGGGATTTACTCTACGTCATCAACTGGTCTGGCTTAAATAACAAGAGCGGAATGCAAATGATGATCACAAGTTGCGGTCGTATAACAACAGAAATCACACATTATTGAGAACACAAGAAAAACAACTAAAGAATCTCATCTTAAGTCGCCCTGTCTGTTTTATGAATCTCTTGCGTGATTGGTTAGAGACTCAATCACTTGTTTACTTTGACTATCACCCGTTTAATTCCACTTTTGCTCACATCAGAAGCAAACCACTGGTGCCCATGGAGCACCATTGGAACTGTGTAATACAGAACAACAGGAAGGATCTGGGAAGTAAAATCGCCAGAAAGTCCGCTGAATCTGTTTGATCCCACTAGTCTACTTTGCCTCCTCTGGCGTTTGTTCTAGTTCACTATCCTAGCGGTGCGGTCCACGGAGCGGCAGTTTTCCATGACCATCATACGGTTCGCACATTAATTCGGTAGCACTAAGTATTGATCTTAAGTCCATTTTCTCCGCTGACTACCCACCCCCATGACGGGTTGGCATTCGCCATGTCACATCGCATTAGGCCAGTGTGGCATCTTTTAGGGGCACACCTGCCATCCGGGATTCAAAAAATAAAAGTGCCGTCAGAGTCTCGTTGACCCATGTGCAACGACCTTCACAAATTGATTAACGCTGTCATGTAAAGATGGAGAGGAACTGGGCTTTGCGATTTCGCAGTAAATTGCAAAACGCTGGAAGTCCCACCAAAAGCTACCATAAACTAGTTAGGGCTATCTATTCGTCAACTCGTCAGGCTCATAGGTTAGTGCATCAGCGCTGTATTTGATAGCATTGCAGGCACCACTGTATTGTTTCATCTTGGAAAGAAAAACAGCCGTCTTGTAGATCTAAAAATGTAGCCTGTCGGACTTAGAGGACAATGCTTCAGATGTGGTCTCCCTTGAAAGATTTTTTTTGTGAAGTCCGATCTCTGTTTAGCGATTATCCCTGTAATGTTAACTTTACTAGTTCCATGAAGAGTATCTACGCTAATTAATCTGTGATTTATCCCATACATGGGGCAAGTGGTTAACATTGATGCTGTTGATCGATCAATTGATTTTGCATTTGAATTTTGGTTGGGTAAGATAGCGTCTCACGTGCCTCTAACGAAAAACCCGTTCTCGGCCAAATTACCCTTTAGCATCCGTACGCATCCAGACTGCCGGGGGAAACCTTAGGAACTATTCTATCAGAGCGAACCGTCAAACCACTGCTTGAATCCCGCACTTCTCAAAGGTCTTGGTGCCCTGTCTAACAGTCTGACGACCGTGCAACGAAAGATTTGGAGCGAAAAGAGAATACTAGTAGAATAGGAGACCTCGATTGTAATCTCAGCCTTTAAAGTGGACTCAAGAACTCCCATGAGGATTGACTGCTCATATGAAAAGTTGCATTTTTTCCCGTCCGATAATACGCCGACCATGATTTTAGCTTGAGACAAGTTCTTGAACACTGCAACTCTCCCCACTTTAGTTGTTTCCTAGTCTGGAAGATGTTTTTAACTGTCGATCGTTGGAAACCTTGGCGGATTTTGAGTCTCTATTTAAATTTATGTCTCTTACAAGGGCATTGTGCGCGAACTCCCGTGGGCACATACGGGAATACATTGTGCTCTTGCCTGAGTTCGCTACGTTCCATGGTATTAGGCCGTCCTCTCTTGCCACTCCTGTTTAACTTCGTTACTGACGTGCTGCTCGAAACTTATCTTCCTGCCTGCAAATCTCTTGGATCAAAGGGCTCTCTGGTCGTTCGCTCACAAACATTGAGCATTTGGAACATCTTGTCCTCCTTGGTTCAGTTCTCACAGAGTTGTAAGTCATTTTCATCATCAGAGACGGTAACATTAGTGTTGATACTGATCCTCCACACCTTCAAAGTGCCAAGTGCATCTAGGAGACTGGATGTATTCAGACACAAACCACATGCTTTCTCACCAGCCAATCGACTTGTTTGATGAACTCGATTACCTGAACATGTCCAGCACTCCTATTGCGCCAGTACCAGCACCATATACTCCTGCTACACTGGTATTCGTCATACGGGCATTCCTCTCTCTAAATCTCTGTTGCCATCTGTTCACTGCATTTATGCTCCGCTTCAATCTGGTACACAGAAAATTCATAAAACGCTATTTCGCATCATGAGCAGTGCGTAATTCCCTAAAGGACATTCAAACTTATGTGCAAAATTGAGCAAATTCAAGGGTATATGACTCTATGACTTTGTGTACTTTGGCATTGTACCGTTGACCTAGTATGCAGTATCAAATAGTTTGCTTGCTCCATTTCGCGCATGCTGATAACCACATCAGAGTTACCTCCATACTTCATCCCCTTTCTAAAACATGCAGTTACTGGATTCGGTGGGTGTCAATACACCTTCCAACCCAATTAAGCGAGGGATTATTACTGGCGTCTCTTCCCATTAAAGAATCATTCTTTGGTCCCATTGCAACAGATAATCTACCAAGGAATGTGGTTTCCTGAAAGTGTCAGGAGACTTTTTGTATATGCGATTATCTTTAGAGCTACGACTGCGGATATCGGGGCTAATATACTAGTTCCAGATTTTATCTACAATTCCGAATCAAAGATTCTATTTTCCGAGTTTTCAAGAGCCGGTAACTTGAAAGAATATATTTAGACCTTCCGGAATTACATCAATGAATAGCAACGATCAAAGTCTTTGGCGTTTGTGGAGCTATGGGGTTAACCATTAGTAACATGTTTTAGTTCTCAGTGAAACCTCAGTTGCGATAGGGAATAATACAAGAATTTGGCAAAGGACACCAATGCAGTTACACTCATTTGAAAATCAAGATGCTGTAATGTTATCCAACTGAATGTATTGTAGACAGGCTCTGATTTCAGTAGGTATCCCTTCCCATCCCCTGAGGTTGGTTTCACTGCGAAACTAATCATACTGGCAACGTCCGTTTTCGTATGATCGCCAATGTCTTAAACAAGACAAGATAACACAGGTCCGTATGTTGCACCCTATCCTGGTATGTCTGTTCCGGCATCACTGATTTCATCCATTACCAGGCTGTTCGCGCTGAGGCAACAACTAGAAGTGCTGACGATCTAAAAGTGCAGATCCTGGCCTTTTTTACATCTTCTCGTCAAACTCGGATACCCATACAGATAACAATAGAACCGATAGGATATGAGACAGTCTCATTCAGAATCATAAACTCGTGTCTTGCTCAAACTTACCCGAGATATGACAGAGGTTGTGACCCTGTCCATTGATTAGCCGGTCACACATGCACTAAGGCTTGTAGGAATCACCTTTGAATATGGAGTTCAGGTCGATGAGTCTCTAAACCAATGGCCAACGTGCTTCATTTTGAAAATGTGGCACTTTTGTTACATTTTTAACGGGTACAGGAGCTGTTGCGATGTTCACGTGGTGACCAGGGTGCAGTAAAGGACCATGCGCCGAGTCTGGGGGTTCCATAAAACCCTGGACATAGGCTCAAGGCAAAGAGCGGTATTTGTTGCAAGCCTTGCTGTCGTTAGATTATTAACGTTTTGCATTATCCAATAAATTGTACTGCAAAATTCATGTTATTATTCGGCGGAAAGAACTAACAGTTTGGCGGATTTCATTCAAGACGTTGCATGTTGATTGTTTTTACTAATGATTGCCGATTGTTCACTGAAGCTGCTGGACCTCATTTTTTAGGTGTTCCGAAAGAGTCTAAAATTTTTTATCGAGAAGTCTAAAACGTCTGCCATGTATTTTATGGAACGTTCATGGCTAAAGTACGCTGCAGTATGCTGCAACCGACGGGATTGTTTGACTGTGGCTGTCTCGGGCGCCTGCAGTTCAAACGGAAGCTTTCCTTCCTTTCACTGTTACGGGGACCGTTGGCCGTCAGCCGTCGCGTTCTGGCTGCATGTGCATCTCGCCGAAGTCTACCAGTGGCTTGGCTGCTGCTTGACTGGCTGTTCGCATCCACTGCGAAGTCAGCGCATGGGTGGTCGGTTGTTCCAGGGCCAAAGATAGACCGATCTATAAAGCGTTCTGAATCGCACGTCTTAACTGCACTGGCGCAGCGCGACACCCGAGCGACAGGAAGTTTAGCGTCCTTTCAGATGCATACCAAAGCGTCTGAGGTGAGAGCGCTACGCAAGGCACTCCATAAAGAGTGCGTTCGACATACGCATTTGCGTACGTGCGCACAACCGTGAGGAAACGCAGTGCACAAGTTGGATGACTTGACAATCGAGGTGACGCCATGGTCCGGAAAAAAGGGCGCCTCCTACGTGTGAGTTTCTTTCTCGGTAGGCCGGTCAACAGCAAGGTCAACAAGCCGTGGTAATCTAGTGCGAAAAAACGGGACATGCTCTCTGCTTTTTAATCTTCTGTGGCCTGACGACAAAGCAAGATAACGAAACGACCCAACAGATAGTGTTCCAAAGGCTTATATTTAGAGGCAGTCAATCAACATAATGGCAAGAGACGACATCTTTAGGGAGAAAACCACACCCAACCACATATCCCTATTATGTATGTCAGAGGTTAGCCGAAAATTTTATACATTACTGGCTGATTGCGGACAGACAAGTACACATCCTTTACGGCCGGATAGAGAAAGGAAACTTTATGGGTTCAGCAACTTGTGTTCAAACCACACTCGGTTGAAAAGTTCAGCACATTACTACACTACTACTTCACCAAAACACACACCTGAATCAGCGGAACTGAACAGGTAAAGCCGTTCACATTTGGACAGCATTTGGATTCAGCTTTCAGGCCGAATGCCACAGTTCAGCATTGCAGAACGAAACAGCATCAGATTCATGGAGCGAATTCCATTTACTCCCAAGGGCTTCCTTAGTTCTGGTTCTGATAGGGTTAAAGTGGTGAAGGAAGCATGTTATCCACCAAGCGAACACCACCGTTGGTCTATGCTAGGACTTGGTAGGGGGCGCAAATGTGCCTTAGTAGAGCCAAAAAGCCTTAACGCAGTAGCATACTGCATTGGACAAAGAAAAAAGCCTTTATCAGGAGTGATTGTCATATCATTAGGTGATACCCTATACTTGTTAAACTTTGTGATGTTTCGACTGAGGAACGCCAAAATTCCTGAACAGCTTCTAAACGTATCCCAACGGTAAAGTCTTCTAGTACGCAATATGACCTTTAATGGCGTGCTTCATTGATTTTTCTCTCTATTCCTTCCTTGTATTTAATAGGAATTGGCAGCAAATACTCCCTGTAAAATTGGGAAGTCATTCCCTGCAGGCGAACAAAACCGGATCAGATC